TTTCAATATATACCCTGTATGGGGTATATAAAGGGAGAAAAGTTATATATGTCTGTATGTATGTATACACAATATTCTCTCTAATAGACTCATGTAGAAGACATACCTATCAACAGTTGGTTGATTAACTCTGCCTGTATAGATAGTAGCAACAAATTTTTATATTATATAAATTATGCAATAAAACAATTTTCAATTTCAACTTATTCGATAAACTAAGACATATTATAGATATATTTTGCAGGGTATTTCATAGTCGAGAAGCGCAAGCACACATGTTTAACTTATGCAAAACAAAAATAGAATAAGAAAGCCTAGCTGAATGAATGAACAGCAACACAGAGAGTAGAAAGAGAGAGAGAGCGAGAGAGAGGGAGAGAGACACAATCAATAGAATTGAGCAAAATCAATGGACAATTCAGGTAATACGAGTAAGAATTGTTGATTTAAATGCTGCTTCGAGAGGCATGTTGCACAGTTCAATTGATGCAACGACCCTGACGTACCTGTATCGTACTATATATATATACTATGTATCTGCATATATATATATATATGCAGATCCAAATCCAAACAAGTTCAAGCGAAATTATTGGAAAAGCAATTTGATGAGGCGACTCAGAGTGGGGTTTATCGCGAGCTATGCAAAAGGCCATTTGATTGACGAAGGCTATTTCGGACGTTAAGGACACCCACACAACATGACATTGGACTATTGTTTCTCTTCTTTGCTGCTCTACTAGTGACTTTTGACTGGCTTTATCTAGCAGGAAGACGTTGCCAAAGCATCGACCTTGGGCGCGTGTTTATAGATAAACCTCGCATGCTCTACCAGAGTTTATCTATATGAATTAATTTCGGGGGTAGTTTGTGTGGGGGCGTGCTCATATGTTGACTTTTATGGGTTCTGCCAAACATGTTAATGATAGCACTTACAACTAGGGGAACTGAACTAGTTTGCTTTTGGGTATACAAAGGAATTGTAGTAGGAATCATCGATTTTTGGGAGTAAAAACTGCTAAACGCACAGTTATACAGCTGTTTCAGTAATTGGTTTGGGAACTTGTTCAATATGACAAAATAATTCAGTTTAATAAGGGAAAAATTAATAAATAATTGTGCTGAATACGTCTATCTATGTAGAGCAGAAGTTTTGACTTTAGTACATTAGTACAAATTAAATTTTATTTATTTTTATTTTTAATTTTTGTTTATTTATTTTTTTTATACCTTTTTTTATAAATTTTATTTCAATTATTTGTATTCTTCTTTTATTCAATCATAATAATTTTTATCTCTTTTTTCCTGTTTTTGAAATGTATTTTTTCCAAATTGTTTTTGTTGAATATATTATATATTATATTTAATTATAGTTCCAAGAAGTTAACTGATTTCGAAGTTTTATATTTTGATGTACAAATATATATAAATTCGATTTAAAACTTTCCATTAACTAGTTATGCTTAAATCAATTAATTCCCAGCTAAATATCAGCAAATACCTATGGTAATACTATTTCTAACTTGATATGTTATAAAGTTGCATTGAGTATCACTTAACAAGCATTTAACAACTTTGTTTGAACCTTGAACAAAGTCGATGTCAATTTAAAAAATACCAGAATAAGTAGCTCGCAAATGAGCTGCAATTAAAATTCCTAGCTAGACCTTCAGCTAAATCACTTTCACTTTGACCTTACAAACTGTTATATAACACTAAAAAGTCTCCCTGAAAATAAAACTATTAAAATAGAGCGCATGCGTAGCCTTGAATAGTCCTTTTTTTTATATACAAATTGCATATGAATGTAGAGAGATTAAGGATTAAAGATAGGAATGTTATGTCGAGGTTCAATGTTCATAAATATGTTTCAGAATTTTGTCAAACAAACAATTCAAAATCGAAACAAAAACTTTAATTTCGAACAATAAAAATGAATTTTCGTTACCTTTTAATAAATATATTTCCGTTATTAAAGGCAATTTCTAGATTGTTTTTGTTTTCCATGAATGAAATTTTTGTTGCTTGTTCCACACGACGAACGGAAATAGAAACGAATAGGCGAAATAGGCGCGAAACAGTTAGAGAACTGCTAAAATAACTGTAATGTGAGGGGTGGGGGAGCGGAGTTGTATGTGTGTTTGAAAGATTATATGGAGCAAAAGGGAAGCACAAGAGGGAGCTGGCTGTGCACGCACGTTTAATTACTGCAACACACACAAACACACACGCACACTGAGCAAGAATGTGTGTGTATGAGAGCGAGAGTGAGAGCGAGAGCGCGCGAAGAGCGAACGCGTGAGAGTAGAAACGGACGCCTGGTCGAGTTTTAGGGCTGAGACGTTTGCTAATGAATTTTGATTACGCTTTGTACGTTTAATAATATTAACAAAAAATTGCACAGCTCTAATTAATTTAATCTTATTTAATTTAAATTTTTTGTTGTAATTTTATGTAACACAAATTACTTTGCACTTTGCTTTTTATATTTATTTTATTTTTATTTTTTGATTTGATGTAAGCAACTGCGTTGCACACTTGCGAAGTCCGACGAAGACTGACGATGGCAGCGACGACAACTTCCGCATTTGCCACCAATACCAATGAAAAAACGCTCACACACACACGGGCGAGCTGCTACTGCTGCTTGCTGCAGGGGCGCGAGATAAGACGCGGCAGCGTTAACTAGCGAATTTTTTGTTATTCACGCTATTTTAAATACAAATATATATTTATCTATAATTTATTTTTCACTTATTCGCATAGAATTGCTTTGCCTCTGTTTTGTGCTTATGTGTGTGTTGTTTGTTGGTTAGAAAGAAGCCAAAGTGTAGATTGACAGCCGCAGCAGCACTCTGAGGGTAGCTTTTTTGTGTTTTACCCGTTTGGCGCGTTCATCGGTCATGCAGATGAGCGCAAGCAGCAGCAACACACACACAAACAAACACAGTCATTCTCTCGCTCTCTCTGGCTGCAAGTTCATTTCTGCCACGTGAGCGTGAACGTGAGAGCGGGAGCGTGAGCGCGCGCAAAAGTTTATGTTGCAATTGCTTTTGATTAGGCAAAAGCGCCCAGGCAATGTGCGTGTGCATGTCTCTGTGTATGTGTTTGTGTCTGTGTGGGTGGTTGCCCGTACCCAAGCAGCGCCGCACACACACACTAATTAGCCCATGCTACTGGGCCGCGCTATCCCGCGCGTATACATACATAAATACAGAGAGCACATTAAATGGTTTATAATACATACACACATGATATGTGCTACTGCTGCAAAAGGCGCCTGCGCATATGTTTAGCATAAATACAAATACAAGCAAATGGCTGGGTCATCGCTGCTAAACAAGTGGTGAGCTCTGGTAAGGTGAAGTGTGTTGTATTTGTGGTGAACTCGCAGCAATCACAACAATAGACAGACAACTAGCGAACGAGCCAGAGAGTGAGAGACTGTTTATGTGTGCGTGTGGTAACTGCTGCCTTGCAGAAATGAACGCTGCACACGCTTTGAATTGAGAGAGAGTGAGAGCAGCGGATTATTACTCTCTCGCGCTCATTGTCCTAATTTTGATTGGGTCGTTGTCGATGGTTCGCTGACTGTCTAACTAATTACGCCAATTTATAAATAATCAACGAGGCGTACAATTTTAAGGTCCTTGTGCGAGGACCACTAACAAAAAGAAATGACAAAACAAATAATAAATGTAAATATTTAATCACAGCCACTGCGCTCTGAGGCTCTGTCTAATCAATGTCGCAAGCCAGCCATGAGTTAAATTATTGTTGCGAAGGACAACACGAAATAACGGCACAGCCAGGCTAAGGACACTTGTACACTTGTCTGCTTCTTCATCTTTTTACTTGAGGGAACTATGTTAATTGCATGTGTTTCCTTGCATCTGCTGCTCTCCCTTCTTTACCCCTCTCTCAGTATCTCTGTGTTTCTCTTTCCCCTGTCTCTCTCTTTCTCTCTCTCTCTCTCTGTCTCTGTCTCTCGCTGTTGGCAGAACTGGCACATGACCTACATAGGTCGCAAAACATAAACAAAAGAAAGTGTACAGAATGTTCGGACAGTTGGACAATTGGTTGAGCACTTTAATCAGTTATATTTGCATATGGTAAGAATATATGGGAGTTTTTATTTGATATAAATGAATGCCAAAACATTTCAATTAAGGGAAAGATAGACAAGCAAAAGATACTTTAAAAAAGGTTCGAACTTAGATCGACAAATAAGGCTATTTCCTATCATAAATATAAGTATATATATTATTTTATATACACTTTGACACATAAGTGCTAAGTCTCCCCATTCTTGTCTATATAATCAAAACTTGTTACTTACAGTACATATATATATAAATATATTTATTTATAACCACATGAATCACAAACATACCTGCAATGAAAAGAGTATAGAAATAGATTTAATAACCACACCAATTAAAAAGTTTTTTAATTAAGCCTATTAATTTATTATTGTTGTACAAAAAAACCTCTCAATATACCACTGACTTGATATGATCATATATTTAATATATTTATTTATTTTGTATTATGGCTCATACAATATTTTTAGCACAATTAACCAATTTCTGAAGTAGCTGCAGACATATAACAAATTTTTTATAACTCAAGAGCTATGATAAGATTAGTTATGGATCGTTGGTGTTTGGGGTCTTTCTTAATGGCAGGCATATTGAACAAAGAGAGGGAGAGAAAGAGAGAGAGGGAAAATCAAACACAAAAACAGGTTGACTGTAATTTTCCATATGGCCCTCATAGTGTATTACAATCGAACCAGTTCTGTAAAAGGTCGAACAGATAAGCGTTTCATCAATGGAAAAATTTCCATGAAGTTTTACAAAATATATATTTATATATAGAAGTGTACTTTGGGTGCATATTATGTATATATAGATACTACATCTGAAAACACTTTTGAATAACCTTAACCTTTTCAAAACTACATGAATTTCTGACATATACAAAAACCTCCAGTTTAATTTTGGAATTTTAGGCTATTGTACATTCTAGGAAAATCTTTCTATTAAATTTGTTGTATTTAAATGATCATTTTTGGAACATCTTTTCTGGGCGATTTAGATGAATTCTCCAATACCCATTCAAAATTTCCAAGTCTTTGAAAAATCTGCCATATAGACTGATTCAAATCAGTGTTAGCTGTTTTTTATTTTCTGTTAGGGGATTACCAACAAAAAACTTTATTATCGTTAGCTACCATTTTTGAAGCGCCTCTCTCCGCGATTCACTGGCAGCTTTTACATTTGTGTTGGGTGGTAAGTCAAAGCTCAGCTTCTCACTGATAAGTGCTGTTCTTAAAGCTTCGATTAGTTCTGTTAGAATTGTGCTTGCTCATGCGAAATGCAACAAAGTGCAAAAAACAACAATTGCCCTGGGGTCAATGAAATAAAACGCAATTGCTGTACCCTCCTCCAGCTACAGCTATAGCTCCAGATTCAGTTGCAAAGGTAAGCGGAATTATAAGCACTGCCGGCAGAGAGCGAAAGAGCGTGTAACGAGAGAGCAGTAATAGCACTGATCGGAGCGCAAAGCGCAGAAAAGACAACGCTGAGTGCTGAACGAGAGAGGCTGATTGACGATTACCAACAAGCTCACAAACACACACATACACACACACAAGAAGGCAAACAAACCGGCGATGCGAAGCAAAGCAAAGCAAAAGCAGTGAAGGCAGCAGACACGCGAAACGGTTAGCCATTCAGTGTGACAGTGAACGTCGTACGGTCGTTGTGTTATGGCAGCAGACGCAACAGAAGCAAAAAATAAGCAACAGCAGCAGCAACAACAAGCGACAGTAATAGTTGTGTAGAAAAACAACAAACTGCATTTAAACTGTGTGACAATAGCAACAACATCAGCGTAAACAACAACTACCACTACGAATACAAGCGGCAACAAGTTGTCCACCACCTGAGATCTATATTCAACACATCAAAAAAGATAGAATAAAGAGCAAAGAGGAAGCAGCAACTACAGCGCAAATATGTTTGAGGTGGCCTGCCTAATGTTCATTTGCCCTTGGCTCATCATCGTCTTGCTCATGTTCATCGCCATGACCGTTCTATAAACAACAACTGCAGCTGAAGAGAATTTGAGTGGTGAGCGCTTAATATAGAGAAAAAAAAATAGGGCACACTTGCCAAAAGCAGCAGCAAATGAATGTTTCAACACTTTTGGCAGTGTGCCCGTTCGTTGCTTCACTTGGTTCATTGATGCTTGATTCCTATGCAAAGGCAAAACAAAAATGTAAAACATAAAAAAAAAAGAAAAAACAACCTCTTTGATTTAGCCAAAGTGGTTTGAATTGTGATTTTAATTGTAAACGTAATTATAAGTGTAATTATATGTAAAAACATTTTTACCTACATATATATGGAGCTACACATACATACATAATCGACATATGTATCTAATGTATATTATAATTACTTAAGCTATTTTATACGCAAAATAAATGTTGTGAACAAATATAAACAAAGAGTTTAACTTTTTAAAGGAATTATATATGATCATTTTTTAAAAAGAGTGTTGAATAGTGATAAGTGATTCAATGAGATTAACAACCAATCAATTAAAGCACAAAACCCAATTTTAATTATCAAGAAAATAATAAAAATTTACTTTGTTTAAAAAAAATCAAAAAATACATCAATTATTTTAAAATAATTTTTGTTTTATTCGGCGACTTTTTAGACGATAACAAAACACGTTTTGCAACTGACAAAAATAAAAAATAAAATGTTTTCTTGTTTCAGTTTTTTTTTTTTTTACTTTAACAATTTCAGCTTGAGGCCAGGCCTCAAAAATACCATTAATTATTTATAATATATTTATAAAATGGCAGAAACAATAATATATTCTGATATCGCTTTAATAAAAAGCTTCTTTTTTATTCGAAACGAATACTTTCGTTAAAAGTAATCTGACTAACAAGGCGCAAAGTCCACATTCGAGTTACATTTACCAATCTATAAACAAGTTCTTCAATCAAACAAACGACAAAAAGTCTACGGGCTTATCTCTAATTGCTCTATCTATACAAATGATAAGTATAATTATCAATGGTGAATGTCGAAATTGTTGATAAAAGAACAAGTAAAAGAAATGTTCATGGTAAACCTTTAGGCAAGCCTCACTGTAGCAACAAATTGCATGCGTTTGCTTTTTAGTGAAACATTTTTAATTTCCAAGAATTAAACACGAACAAAACAAAACGAAAAAAGCTGTGAAAAGAAACATCTTAAGCATAAATCCAAATAACGCCCACGCTAATATTTATTTAGGATGCTTTATAAGGAGGAGGGAGGCGTGGGAAGCTAGGGTGGGTGAGTGCGTTGAGGCCTACGCGATTTCCAAAAAGAATAAATCATCTTTAAAGAACACAGATTGAAAATTATTTCAGAATTATATATATATATATATATATATATATATATATATATATATATATATATATATATATATTCTGAATATGTGTACAGATACATACACATTTATCTATATGAATAGAAAATAATTATATTTGTATTTAAATATATATATCTACACATGTCTTTCATCCAGCCAAAGCAAACTTCGGAATTGTTGCACCGATTGGGAATTATATATATGAATAATTAATTCTCTATCATATATCATATACTATATACCATATATCTATTTTCAATAAACATATTTATATATATAGAGCATTTTGAACCATATATTTTATATACATATACCAAATATCCCTTTGATACATTTTCTTATTAATATCTATTTTTTAACGACATGTTTAAAGACTAAAAAGTTTAGATACTGCTCAGATACCATTGCAAATTTTAGTTTAATTTGGTGCATTAGTTCAGTCATTTGCTAATTTTTTGCACTAGTTCATTGAGTTCAACAGTTCATGAACAATACAATTTAGTAGCTTAGAGACAGTTGAATGGCTCGAAAGAACACTTCGTTCAGCTGAACCGCTTTCAATGTCTGCAAAATATCACGAAAATATTGAAAGTTGAGTTAACTAGTCGCATAACTAGTATTAGTCTTTGAGTAACGTAGTTGAAGCGCATTTTGATTAGGGTATTCCCTATAGCATATCCAATAAACAGTTGAAGAGCTCAAAAGAACGAATCCATTTGGTCAGGGCATATATATATATATATATATGTAATATACTCCTATCAAATAGTATATTTTTTTTGGGCGTTGCCACCTGTTGATAATTGCAATTGTCATTTGGCTGTGTTTCTGTGTCTCGCAGGCATTGTTAATCAACCTCAATCACAATTTTTGCAGCTTTAGCTGACGAAAGTGAAAGTTGTGGACAAAATATGATTACAGATATGCATATATACACACATATATATATATATATATATATATATATATATATATATATATATATATATATATATATATATATATATATATAAAGTGTGTATATTTTGCATGCAGCATGGTAATTTTTATTTTTTTTCTGCCCAGGTCTGCGTTGCGACGTGTCAATGACAAAGTTAAACCGAATTGAAATTAATTATGTAAAACAACCAAAAAAAAAAAAAATAAAAGCAAAAGAAATAAAAACATAAAAATCAACAACAAAACAAGTTTTTTATGCATGTAAAGCGTTGCCAGACCATTAAAAACCAACAGATTAATTAAAGTCGTTAAAGCAAAAGCAAAAACAAGAAACAAAATTAAAATCAAAATAAATGCAACTTGGTTTTATTTTTACTCGCGCTTTGTAAATCAAGAAATTGTATACATTTATCATTATTGAAAATAAACAAAGCGAATTTTAAGTTATATTTTAGGGGCGTGGCAATTGGTTTTTATGCGCCTTTGTTGACTTTGCCATATTGACTTTGTTTGGGGCATGTTAATTATGCTAATTGGTAAGCGGCGCAGCGAAGGACAGCTGGAAAAGTTACTAAAAATATACGATTTTAAAATTGAAATTACAATAAAAAGGTTTTTAACTGGGATTGTATTTGAAGGCATATTTAGTTGAGCTTATGTAAAAGTTTCGATCTTAAGTTGATTTTGAACTGAATCTAGACTGCAGAGGACCTATATAATAGATTATCTAATTTAGCTTATCTTTTTTTGAGAAACGTATTATAAATATTTGCTTAACTTGTACGGCACAATAGTTGATCTGCATTGCAGAACACGCTTGATGACACGTTTTGTATAATAAGTCTCAAAAATTTCAGTTTAATTACATTTAATGTGCTCTTTGTAATTGTTGCCTCATTAATTTTCAACTATCTTCAAGTGTTCCATATTTATTAAACAAATATTATGCACAGATTTGACTTTTATTTATTATGCACAGATTGACTAAATAATTAAATATGCGCTGATTAAATTATGTGTCGTATATGTGTTTGCATTTACAGCTTTCTATAGGTCTAATTCTTCTTCTTCTTCAACTTAACAGTACAGAGCCAAAACCAAATGCAGTTACAAAATGTTGATGCATTAAAAGACAACAAGAAAAACCCTGCGAGCAATGCTCTAAAATGCATTTTCATTAAAATGCAGTCACGCAACAGCAGTAACAAGAACAACAGCAACAACAACAATAACAACAAATAGATGCCTGTAAATGCATTCCGAGAAATTGTTGACCCCAAGGCGAGTCGCAAAATCGCGTGTCTCAACTATTTAGCGAGGTATTATGCGAAAGGGGAGTTTTGGCTGCACAGTAGATACACGACTAGGCTGGCAGTGCAATCACCTTCAGGTTTTTTAGTAGGTTAGCAGGACCTTTCATTGTTGCCATTGTTGTTGTTACAAATTTGGAATGTTTACATTTTTCATGAGGTTTGTTCGCTTTGCTTACTTTTTCTTTTGTGCAATTGTCGTAATGGGCACTACGAACTTATAGTTCCGGTCGAATAACAACAACTCGCAAATGCAAATGCGCATTTGACTGCAAGATGCAGAGAGTGAGAGAGGGAGAGGGAGACACGGACAGAGACTGGGCGGAAGAGACCTACTAAGAGCAGTTCATTGCTCCAGTTGCGCCGAAAAAAAAAACTAAGGCAATATTTTCAAATGAACCGTCATAACAAAATGTGGAATATAAAGGCGTAGTATAGACTTAAATATACCCTAACTTATTTGCATACAAAAGAGTTCTATGAAAAGCCAGCTTTTCTCTTGTAGAAACTTTTAAAAAAAAGTCGAAAAATTATTTGGGAGCATTATATAGTCAGGTAGAACCTTAGCCATTTTTTTTATAAATTTGTACTAACTGTATAGTGTACATTCTAGTTTTTATCACAATATATATATGGGCAACAATTGATTAAGTTCCAAATGATAAAATTAATTTTTGTATATTGAATAAGCACGAAGCTTTTATTGTAAATAGAACTCTTAGCATACTTTAAGGCTGAACTGTGCTATAAATTATTCGACATTCTGTCTATATAGCTTAAATCATATATTTATGATCGCAAATATCTCACTGGCACAGTCGTTAGCTTTTCTGCCACATGCCACATAAAGTTGCAGCCACTTTGTTTGCATTCAAGTTGGAAATCATTTCATTTACGTTTGTGCACAGAAAGCCGCAGGCTGACAGGCAGGCAGCTAGGCACAGGCACAGGCACAGGCCTTGCTCGCTACAGTGGCTGCTGCTGTTTAGCAATTCGCACATAATTAAATTGAAACGGGCAAAGCGGGAAGAAGAAGCAGCGACAAAACAATCATAAAATCTAATTGCAACTAATAAAGTTTTTGCTGTTGCGGCATTTGGCTTTGAA